CAACATTAAATGTGGATATGAAAAAAATCACACCCACAGTTATCAAAAAAATCAAGGCTCACCTTTCACCACAGTCTTCAGTTATCGAAAAATATCTTCTTATGAATCTCCGATAGAATAGTCATTGTCAATTACTTCATAAACTCCTAATCAATTTTTAAACAAAAGAACGGGAAAAAAACTCAAAATAAATAATTAATAAACTCAAAAGAAATTGAAAAAAAAAAACTAATCAAACGTAAAAAAAAAAAAGGTTTAGCCGAGCCGAGCCATAAAGTCATTTTTATATTTTAACTTAATCGACCATATATTTATTATTATCACATTTTAAGTTTTTTTTAAAAAAATTTGAAACCGATCCAAATGGATATTCATATCGTGAAATAGCAAATCAAACGAAAAAATTGTAAGAAAATAAAGTTTGAAAAAAAGACATTGGAATGAGGTTGGAGTTGAAAAGAAAAATAAACAAATATGACTTTACATTTCACAATTAAGGTAAAATTATTTTAATATGTAAAATTTATCGATCATATATTTATCATGGTCGCATTTCAACGTTTTACAAATTTTAAATCGATTAAAACGAATATCTGTAACTCAAGATATTGAATCAAACGTACAAAAAAAAAAAGTTAGCCGAGTCGAGCCATGAAGCCATTTGGCTCGACTGTAAACAAAACTAATCAAAAGAAAAAACCAAAAACCCAAAAAAAAAAATTTAGCCGAGCTGAGCCATAAAGACTTTTGGCTCGGCTCGGCTCGACTAACTGTTTATGAACAATAAGAAGGAAGTTGCGCTTTTATTTATGGTAGAGATATTAAGGAATAGGAATATTGAAAGTAGGTAAACACAAATTCACCCTCCATTCATGCTTCTGACACTGACCCTTCATGTTTCTTGCTTGTATCCCAAGTTATTTACCAAAACCTTCAACCTTCCCACGAAATCTGCATTTTCCTTTCATAATTATATCCCTAAATTATCCCAACCGCCTTTCAATTCTCATAATCTTAAAACCCCACACCTGACCAAATTCCTTTATCCAAAACTCTCTTCTTTCTTCTCTTTAATTTTCCCGTTTTGCGTACGTTCTTGAAAATTCTGACAGGTTATGTTATTTGTGATACTTTGGCAGAGATATGGTGGAAGACGGAGGAGGGACTGCTTTTCCGGTGGTGTTTTACGATGGGGAAAGGGAGATGATAATTGGGGACGTGAAAATTTTCCCTAGGTTGGAGTACAGCCTTTTCAGCTGATGCTTAGCCAAAAGATTGGAATTTCGCCTAATCAAATTTCGATTTACTTGGTCCACCGTAATAAAAACCCTAAATCTCCATTCCCGGATGATCGTCAGCGAACTCCAATAACAGGGAAGGTCAACTTCAGGTTAATTTGTCGCCAAAAGGATTGTTGTTTTCTAGTCGTATGGAAAAGATCTCGAAAGTCGAGAAACCGGAGGGAAAGAGTTAAAGAAGTTGAGTTTTCTGATTCCTTGGCGGCGCCGGTACTGGAGAACATGATTCTGCTCCATCTCAACCAACCTGTGCCATTTTACGATCATATTACGCACTCAGAGCTGGCGAATATGAATGATCGGCTTCAGAACTTGAGGGTTATCAGAGAGAATTACCAGATGGCAATGAAGAACCTGAAATTCAACACGGTTCATGGTTCGGACCAAGAGCCCTTTTCGGATTTCAATATGGGTTATCGGGTTTCTTCCACCATGATGATGGCGACAAATGAGACTAGGAAGGGTTTCTGCACAACGTACGTGAATGCTCAGAAGAATGGTAGCAAGGCGTCGTTCCATCTCTGTGTGAATGACACCGCAATTGGTCTGTTTAGAACCCGGGTAGGGCTGATTAGTCGGCCCATTAAATCGCCTTCCTGATTTTATCACCACTATATAAAAGAGGCACTTCTGTATTTACTATTCATAAGCCGAATGACCACCTAAGCCGAGCTGAGTTGAGTGATCCGCATTAGCCGAGCAAAGCATCTTTCTCTTCTCCATTTATACACGCTACATCTCATACCTCATTATTTACTCCAAGAAAATCGTCTTTTTCTTCTCTATTTGTACACTCTACCGTCCATACCTCGTTATTTACTCAATTCTCCCCTTGTCCTCTCATTTATGCAACATTTCTCGTGAATTCCTCCTCTACACATACACTGCATATATAGGGAATCTCGACGATCGCTTCCAAATTGATGGAGACCCATATGTGCGCCATGCAGAGTAATGTTGGGCAGATGTTGCCGGGATGTAATTTTTTATCGCGCTCTCCAGTGATCAGATCTTCTTCAACAAGGTACTACTGTTGTTTTCAATTTCTTACTTTCAAAAATTTATGACTGTAAACGTATGTGAGCATTGTGATGATCACCAAACAAACACGTCTTTATATTATTAACCCAAATCAAAATCCCTAAACCAGAACCCTCAATCATGCTTGAAGCTACAAAATTGAAGTTTCCGTGCTGGACGGACCAAAAGGTCCGTTCAGTACGGATCTCTTGGTCCATGCAGGACAGACCTATTGGTCCGTTTCTGAACTAACCAAAAGGTCCATTCAGCACGGATCTCTTGGTCCATGCCTGAACTAATCGCTTCTGTCTTTCTTCATCTCTCCTCACCGTGAACTCTCTTCAAACAATTTTTTTTTTTGTCAAAATTATCAGTGAAATCTACAAACAGTACACTAACCTCTAAC